GGTCAATCACCTTCAGTGCCTTGTGCTGGATTTTGTCCAGTCTGGATGTACCTGACCCCATCCACACCAGGCAGCAGTATTCCATTGTTGGCCGCACGAAGCCTTTGTAGACTGCCGTGCGGCCGCTGGAGTCCAACAGGGGCGCAACCTTTCTCAGGAAGTGTAGGCGTTGGGCAGCCTTTGAGGCCACGGCCCGGAGGTGTGCTGCGTAGGACAGTTGCGAGTCGAATGCTATGCCCAGAAGTTTAATTTCCTTCTCTTCAGGAACAGTCACTCCATTGAAGAGCACTGGTGGGAACGCTGGGGGAGGCTTGCGGTGGTCGATGATGAGGGCCTGAGATTTGGATGGCTCGAAGGTGACCTTCCACTTGGAACCCCAGTGGGAGACGGCGTCCACTGCTTCCTGGAGTTGTGCTGCAGAGTCGGATATGCTGGCGGTGGCAGAGATGCACTGATACAGTGTCGTGTCATCTGCATACGTGGCAAGCTCAGCACCAGCAGGCAAGGTGTCCTTGCAGTCATTTACGTACAGGAGGAATAACGTTGGTCCAAGGATGCTACCTTGTGGTACCCCTGCTTGGATATGGTGCAGGGAGGACTCTTGGCCGCCCACAACAGCCTGCAGGCGCCCGTTGTGCAGGTAGCTTTCCAGCCATCCGAGAAGCGGGCCGTCTAGACCGTACACGGAAGCCTTATGCAGCAGACCAGCATAGCTGACTTTATCAAAGGCGCCTGCTATGTCTATCGCCAAAACATGGGCGGCTCCTCCTAGGCCGGCTGCTCGGGACCATTCACAGTGGAGCTTGGTTAAGACGTCGGCTGTGCTCAGGCCCTTTCTGAACCCGAACTGTTTCACAGAGATGACATTGTGGGACTCCACGAAACTGGCTATCTGACGATTGACAATTGTTTCCATCACTTTGGATATGATAGACAGCAGAGACACAGGTCTGTAGTGTTGAGGCAGGTTCTTGGATTTCTTCTTGTGAATGGGTGTGACTCTACCTATGATGCCGGTGTCATTCTTGTATTCCATATGACGTGTGTTGATGTGTTCTCGCTGTCTGCAAGAACTGTCTAGGTGTCAGGAAGAGGTTATAGGCGCACGGGCTCCTGGTCGGCTGGGGTCAGCGAGAATTGTGGAGCAAATTGTTAAAGGGTCTCATCCTCCTCTCCATATTGCTCCTTGCAGTAGAATATAGTGAATTGTGACATTAGGAGTGGAAATTGCTGACACATGTAAACTCCATGCGCCAAACACTACATTGTACCTGTACTTCGAAGTATGAAACTCGTAATCCCTTACTATCTAGTACAGTTGTATGTAGTATGTTCAGTTGACTTTCTTGCTTATTTCTTGTCGCGAGATCAGCGCATTGTAGTCACTTGTAATCCAGGGCGTGATGCTGAGGGGGAAATCGTCTCGTCTCGAAGTGCTGTTGTTTAGCTCATAAGGACGAACTTTTGCTGCATCTCACGCTGGTTCACGTGGCTATTTCCCCGTATCACCAAGGTTTTTTCTTCGGGTGCGCATTGCTGCTTGTTGTACAAAAGACGAAACACGCACACGAATTTCTCTTCATCGCCTCGGTGATTCAGTTAAACGGGAACTAGGCCCAATAACATAAAGACGCTTCTTCTTTCCATGCTTCACTTCGTTGTGAGATTGGTTTTACGGAGGTGCCCACTCTGGTTTATGTACTCTTGCTTGAAATGTTTATAGACGATTGTTCTAGATTTCAAATCTCTACCAGCGGGGGAAAAGCACGAGAAGAATTTGTGAGCTTGTGCACATAACAAACTGTTGTCATTCTGCTGTCTGGTTTCACTGCCTGTTTTCGTTGCTTGTCATGTACTCGTGTTTAACCCTCGAAGTGCCATTGAGCGGGAATCAATGTGTCATAACTCAGCTAGATCTCCACAGATCTTTACAAACGATGGCTCTGTGGAAAGATATCAAGACCAGGTAGACAACTACGGAGCGACGATGCAGCGAAAATTGTCTTCTTCGCGAGGATGTCTGATCGAAATTCGTGCTCTGCACTTTCGTAGTATTTGCGCTTTCCGGCGCGCTCCATCGAGCGCAGCACAGTCAACTTTCAGCGCGGAAAAGGTTGACCTGAAAGCCACTGAGAATCTCGATGTTTTGATTGCCAATACGCATGGATTGCCGTGAAAAAATAGATAACAGCGATGCTCATACTTCATGACTTGTTTTCTACTCGCGACAATTGTTTGTCCAAGTGGCGCACTTCAGGCTTCGCTCTGGCGACATCTATAAGACTATATTCCTTGACACAAAACGATGTGACGAGTCGATAGTCAAGGTCTTCCTGAACACGTAGAGTGGTCGTTTGTAACTATCCTGTGTTTAGAAGTGGAGGTACGAACATATTTGTACACACATAATCATTCTGGTCCCCTCAAGTCGCCCTTAGCAGTACAAGAGACCCAGTACAGTATAACACTTTCAATGTTGTCACTCCTCAAGTCACCCTTAGCAGTACAAGAGACCCAGTACAGTATAACACTTTCAATGTTGTCACTCCTCAAGTCACCCTTAGCAGTACAAGAGACCCAGTACAGTATAACATATTCAAGGTTGTCACGTGGTTATCAAGAGCGTTGCTGTTGTTTCAATCAGACACCATTGTTTTTTTGTTCTGCTTTCGGAAATAGGCCGTGTGCTTGGAGCGTGTGTTTGAGACATCCGTATTGTTAGTTTGTAAAGCGGAGGAAACGTTGTTGGCGCAGGCAAAGCTTTGAAACGTGGTGAAATGTGTTTTTGGACGTCTAATGTGTGTGTGGGTGCGGGTTTGCGTGTATGTATGCGTGTGTGTGTGTGTGTGTGTGTGTGTGTGTATGTGTGTGGGTGCAGCATTATAGTAATACTGCAGATTGATGGGTGCACGCGGCTGCTTCCTGCTGCCACCATGCTGTTATGATTGCTAGCGTTTTTACTGCAGGCTTATGCTTTGCTGCCCTGCATACGTACAGTACATGTGTTACATACAACTTTATCTGTCTGATGACAAAACTCGTACTCATCACAGTCAAGGTTCAAAAGGTGCTGGCAAAAATGAATGGGGATTGGATGGGGCTGTGTTTACATACTCCTTATATGTACCATATTGTGAACTGTGTGTATCTACGCTGTGACCTTTCGATCTGTTTGGGATGCATACGGCTCTATAGTACAAATTAGATGCGGTGCATTACATCATTGATGATCAGATGTTCATTTGTGGCGCTGTCCCCTATGGCAATTGTCGGATTTCACTTGCCACAACTGTACGTGTCATGCAACGTGACACGCAATGTGACATTCATGCATTCATGCGCCACGCTCAACGTAGACGGCATGCGTCGTGGGCACTCAACGTGGCATGCTCAAGTTCGCCTACCGCAAAGTCGCGGATAAAAGTCGGGTTTGCATACAAGCACATCGCGGATAGAAGCCTGAAAATCAAACGGGTCAAATACATATAAGTCTGGCTTCTAATAAGTTCTATGCAAGCGCGGATCGGGTAAGTCAAGAGTGCATGCGATATGTACGGTGCATAGTAAAACTGCCGCCATACCAGTAGTCAGTGGTAGATGTACGCGTGTTGCGCGTAGAAGATGTGCATATTATTTTAAATTACAAGCCTGGGAAAAATATCGGTGCTGCATATAAGCATGGTTTGCATTAAAGCCTGATGTGCAGAAAGCGGCTTCTATGCGTATAAGCCCGGCTTTTATCCACGACTTTACGATATATTATTCTATATTATTTCGATCCGTTCTGTGTGTGGATCACTCTTGTCAGATCGCTGCGTTCACCCACCCACCCACCTCCCATTTCTGATCTCTCATTTACTTTGATAAATTAAATAAACGGGTGTTGGCCACGCTCATTTCCGGCTACTGAGTGCCCTCAGCCTTCGCCCTCGGACGTGACTATCCTCTTGGCTTCGCAAAGATCCTGCTCTCTCCGTAGTATCTCACTTCGCTGGCCAGCACCCTATGTACCGCAAGCTGCTGTATGTTGTAGTTAGTGTGTGTGTGTGTGTGTGTGTGTTCGTGTGTGTGTGTTCGTGTGTATGTGTTCGTGTGTGTGTGTTCGTGTGTATGTGTGCTGTTTGTGTTTGTGTGCTGTTTGTGTGTGCTCTGTGCATGTGTGTGTGCTGTTTATGTGCTGTGTGTGTGTGTATGTGTGTGTGTGTGTATGTGTGTGTGTGTGTGTGTGTGTGTGTGTGTGTGTGTGTGTGTGTGTGTGTGTGTGTGTGCTCGCATGTGTGTGTGCTGTGTGTATGTGTATGAGTTTGGTTGTGTAGCATTATAGTAATAATGCAGATTAATGGGTGCACGCGGCTGCTTCGTGCTACCACTCAAACTATGCTGCTATGATTGCTAGCACTTTTACTGCATGCTCATGCTTTGCTGCTGGCTACAGTCACGTGCACTGTTCATCACGGTAACCATGTCGGCCAAACGTCTTGGTGTATGCTCACATGGTACTCTCCGCGTCGTGGCATTCTACGTGTCATTCTACGTGATACTCAACGTGGCATTCATTCATGCGCCACGCTCAACGTAGGCGGCATGCGTCTCGGGCACTCCATGTGGCATACTAAAGTTTGCCTAGTTATATATTTCGATCCGTTCTGTGTGTGGATCACTCTTGTCAGATCATTGTGTTTCACCCACCCACCTCCCATTTCTCATCTCTCATTTACTTTGATAAAGTAAATAAACGGGTATTTGCCATGCTCATTTCCGGCTGCTTAGGGCTCTCAGTCTTCGTCCCTCAGGCAGGATTATATTCTTGGCTCCGCTAAAATCCTGCTCTCTCCGTAGCCTCTCACTTCGCTGGCCAGCACCCTCCGTACCACAAGCTACTGTGTGTTATAGTTAATTGTGTATGTTTGTGTGTGTCTGTGTGTGTGTGTGTGTGTCTGTGTGCGTGTGTGTCTGCGTTTGTGTGTGTGTGTTGGCCGTGCTCATTTCCGGCTGCTCAGGGCTCTCGGTCTTCGTCTCTCGGCCAACGTGACTATCCTCTTGGTTCCGCCTAGATCCTGCTGTCTCGGTAGCCTCTAACTTTGCTCGCCAGCACCCTCCGTACCGCAAACTGCCGTATGTTCTAGCTAATGTGTGTGTGTTTGTGTGCTGTGTGTGCTGTGTGTGCGTGTCCTGCGTGCTTGTGTGTGTGTGTGTGTGTGGGCGAGTGTGTGTTGTGTGTTCTGTGTGTGTGTGTGTAGATGTGTGCGTATGTTATGTGTGTGTATGCGTGTGTGTGTGCGTGCTGCGTGAGTGTGCGTTTGTGTGTGTCGTGTGCACATGGGTGTGTGTGATGTGTGCACGTGTGTGTGTGTGTGTGCGTGTGTTTGTGTAGCATTATAGTAATGTGTGCACGTGTGTGTGTGTGCTGTGTGCAGCATTATAGTAATAATGCAGATTAATGGGTGCACACGGCTGCTTCCTGCTGCCACTCAAACTATGCTGCTATGATTGGTAGCGCCTTTACTGCATGCTCATGCTTTGCTGCTGGCTACAGTCACTTGCACTGTACATCACGGTAACCATGTCGGACAAACGTCTTGGTGCATGCTCACATGGTACTCTATGCGTCATGGCATTCTACGTGTCATGCAACGTGACACTCAACGTGGCATGCATTCATTCACGCGCGACGCTCAACGTAGGCGGCATGCGTTGTGGGCACTCAACGTGGCATGCTTAACCCTTTTACTGCTGGCCTAGGTTCCCCCTGCCGGCTAAGCTTTCAGCGCACTTGCCTTCATTTCAGACCCTGCATGCAAGTCGCCGAGCCGAATCTTTCGCCATGTTTGCATCTATTGATGTATATCCACGACCTATAGCTTGTTGGAAAGGCCTGAGCCAAGTGAAGACTCTCTGGCAGTTGTCAGCTCCATAGGCATGCCAGCATCACTTCTATGTGCTCTAGAAGAAGCCCTTACATGTCTCAGAATCGCTAAACAACTTCATAATAAATTTTCTTTCGCCATCTCAAACTAAACCAAACTTCACGATTTAAACTGGGCTGCAAAGCTGAGATCCAAGCAATTTGTTTGATTCCCCACACGCATGCGCTGTAGCAAAGGGAAATCTCCTAAAAAAAGTGAGTCGCGAGCAAAAAGTTTGAACTGATGGCCAGAAAGCGTATTTTTGATTTTTTGCAATTCTATTCGTCATCGCTCGCTCATATCTAGTCCCATCGCAACTAACTTTATGTCACTGGAAAGCTGAGCTCAATACCTCTCCCACGGTATATCGTTTTTGAAAATCGGACGCCGTTGACACGAGTTACGACAGTTTGTACAGTGACATATGCACTTCGTACTATTGCGTGGACCGTGGAGCGAGATATCTCGTCATCCGCCGTTCAGGCACACTTTACAGAGCGAAATATCTTGTCATTTGCACTGAAAGGGTTAAGTTTGCCTAGTTTATTATATATTTTCGATCCGTTCTGAGTGTGGATCACTCTTGTCAGATCGTTGTGCTTCACCCACCCACCTCCCATTTCTGATCTCTCATGTACTTTGATAAATTAAACGAGAGAGCTTTGAAGCTCAGGGCCCTACGCTATGCTTTTATGCCTTTTTGCCTACCTCATCGTACATGTTATATGAACTGATGGAAATGTCTTTTTCCGTTGATTGGCCACATGACTGTATTGCAAAAACGTTTCAATCGGTTTCAATATTATGAGTTAAGCTGTGTTCACAACTGGCGCATGTACGCGTGAAACCACACGTTTGTGCGTATTTTTGCTGGCTTTTGGGGCGCCATGCGTACGGAAACGCGCCGAAATGGAACTTCCAACATGTTGGAATTTTCAGCGCGTATCAGGCGCGTATCAGCGTACATGCCAGTCACTTTGACTGGCGGGGTCAACAAATTAGTACTCGAAGGTGTCGCACGCGCTAAATACGACTCGGATTGCTGTTTTTTGTGAAAGGCTGAGCGCGCGTTTGGGGGCGCATGAACCGCGTCAACGCGCCAGTTGTGAACACAGCTTAAGGCAAAAGTATTTGCAGAATTTATTGCGGATTGTTATTTCTCTAATAATCATCTACTTTTGGTTTGCTCCTTCTTTTCTTTTTATCTCCTTATACTGTAAATCAACAAATGTTGGCCGATGAGAGAAACCTCTCTATTAGAGAGGTTAAGATGCACGTTATTTCCGACGTGACGCGCAATTTCACGTCAAATTTGAAACCGATCGGTATTTTTGCTCTCCCATGCATCCATTGCTCAATCATGCATCATTTGCCTATATAACAAACTTTGGCCTGCGATTTACTTTGGCCGGTTGGTACCAAGCGGCGAAATCAGCGAAATTAAATCGCCAGCGAAAATTAGTTGATTTTAATACAGTAATCGGATTTTCCCCACCAGCATTTTCAACGGCATGTTTGAGCAACACGAGGTGGTTGATATAGGCAGTGGCAGTCTGATCCCACTTCAGAAACCCAACAAGCCGCTGGGACCACCATCAAATTTACGTCCGATAGTTCTTCTCAACACGCTGCGGAAGACCCTGTCACTCCTCACTTTAGCTCGAGTCAGACCCAAGGTTGACCAGTACCTAGCCCAGACGCACAGCGGCTTCCGCCCTGGCCGATCCACCGCGGATGTGGTATGGGCGCATCGATGGCTTGTGGCAAAGACCCAGCGCTACCACAGCACCGTTCACCTGTTGGGCATTGATCTGTCGAAGGCTTTTGACACGATCAAGCGAGACACCTTGCTGACTGTTCTGGAGGCGTTTCTGAGTGACGATGACGTTCGCTTGATCAGGGTCTTGATCTCTAACACCAGACTTCGTGTTCAGCTTGGGAGGTGCCAGTCGGAATCATTTGCTACAACGAAGGGGACGCCACAGGGGGATTGCCTTTCCCCCGTTCTCTTCACGGTTTACCTGGAGGCTGCGCTCCGACAACTAAGGCAAGAGGTGCCAGCAAGACCTCTCAGCGACAACGGTCTGCCGCTCGAACTTGTATATGCGGATGATGCAGACTTTGTCAGCACCTCAAAGTCCTGGCTGGCGGACGTGGAGGCGACTGCCAGCACGGTGCTACCACAGTGGTCCCTGATCATGAACCGGGACAAAACTGAGTATACGGACATCTTCAGAAGTGCGGACAGGATCGATGAAGAGTGGAGGACAACGCGCAAGCTGGGTTCGCTGCTGGGCGACGAAGAGGATATTATGCGACGAAAACAGCTGGCGACTGCAGCATTTCAGTCCCTATGGAGCCTCTGGAAGAGGCATCAGCACATCAGCGAGAAGTTGCGTCTGCGGCTGTACAGCACTTTTATTGTTCCAGTACTGACGTACAACTCGGGTACGTGGGGGGTCAGTGTGACCGTTCTGTCTCGCCTGGATTCCTTCCACCGCCGTCAGCTAAGGTCACTCATCGGTGTGAAATGGCCACAAATAATACCGAATGATGCTCTCTATGCCAGATGCGAAGCTGAACCCTTGAGTGTCATGGTCAAGAGATCACGCTGGAGGCTGTTTGGCCTCATCCTGCGGATGGCAGATGAATCTCCAGCTGTTATGGCTATGTTCGCGTACTTCGCCAATCAGCAACAGAAATGCTGGAGGGGTAGACCGCGGACGACCCTGCCGCAGGCATTGGTGGGAGATCTGCGCCAAGCCAATGCCGGATTGCTCGGGAACTTAGACGCTCTGCAGAGCCTGCGAGCCATTGCCCATGACCGACCCGCATGGCGAGATCTATGCATGAAGATCTGTGCATCGTGATATTCCGACAGGTCCTGAAACAGTCAAACTCAGGAAATAGCACTATTATTATCACTCAGGCTGCAATATTCAATGACATAATTAAAGACATATTCATAAATGACATATCTTCAATACCCATGAGCTACATTGTATATGATAATTATATCATTGTATCATCGTTCTAGCTCAATTTCTTTCCCCTGTCATAGTCCTGTTTATCATGTTCAGCATAAGCGAAGTTGTGGATCATGCTTGCATGGTTGACTCCAACGCGTACATGCAAGTAATAATAATAATAATAATCGGATTTTCTGGCCTTTTTGTAGTAATACATGTACATTGACCTGTTGAGCCAATGATTTCGCCGAATGCATGGTTGCCTGTGGAGCACATTACATAACTTTACAGCCTCCTAAAATACGTATCCTGTCCGACGGCAAAAGAGGGTGCAGATTTAGTTTTTCTGCGCGTCGACGGGATGTCTGTCCTGACGTTTACTGGGACCGGCGCTGACTCTGCCGATCACGGGCGTTCTGGACTCGACGGGATGTCTGTCCTAACGTTTCCTGGGACCGGCTTAGACTCTGCCGATCACGGGCGTTCTGGACTCAACGGGATGTCTGTCCTGACGTTGCCTGGGACCGGCGGACTCTGCCGATCACGGGCGTTCTGGAGTCGACGGGATCTCTCTTCCGACGTTTCCTGTGACCGGCGCTGAATCGCTCGTTCACGCTTATTTTGGAGACGACGGGATCTCTCTTCCAAAGTATGTTTATGCTGACGCATCCTATCACCTGTTCGGCGTCTATTCTAATTTAATTTCCTCCTCGTCTCCCTATTTCTTTCCAAATCTCCCTCTACATCAGGGAGTCGTATACATAATACGACGAATATTGGTACGGTACGGGACAGATACAGGAGCCCGCAAATATTGTGGACAGCTGTTATGTACAATCCTGTAGAGCCTTTGTAGTCACAGATACGGGACAGATACGGGACAGATACGGGATAGCTCCAGCCGTGACACAAACAAACAAACAAACAAACAAACACCAAATTAAAGCTGTGTGGACCCTGGCTAGCGCCAGACGTTACTGAAGTAACGTCTTCTGCATAGCTACGGGAATAAATGGATGTTGGCCATGCTCATCCACTTGGCTCCGCCAAGATCCTGCTCTCTCCGTTTTCTCTCACTTCGCTGGCCAGCACCCTCCGTACCGCATGCTGCTGTATGTTGTAGTTACTGTGTGTGTGTGTGTTCGGGTATGTGTGTTTGTGTTTGTTTGCTGTTTGTGTGTGCTCTGTGCATGTGTGTGTGTGCGTGTGCTGTGTGTATGTGCATGAGTGTGCTTGTGTAGCATTATAGTAATAATGCAGATTAATGGGTGCGAGCGGCTGCTTAGTGCTACCACTCAAACTATGCTGCTATGATTGCTAGCGCTTTTACTGCATGCTCATGCTTTGCTGCTGGCTACGGTCACGTGCACTGTTCATCATGGTGATCATGTCGGCCAAACGTCTTTGTGCATGCTCACATGGTACTCTATGCGTTGTGGCATTCTACCTGTCATTCTACGTGGCACTCAACGTGACATTCATTCATGCGCGACGCTCAACGTAGGCGGCATGCGTCATGGACACTCAACGTGTCATGCTAAAGTTTGCTTAGTTATATATTTCGATCCGTTCTGTGTGTGATCACTCTTGTCAGATTATTGTGTTTCACCCACCAAACTCCCATTTCTCATCTCTCATTTACTTTGATAAAGTAAATAAACGGGTATTTGCCATGCTCATTTCCGGCTGCCCAGAGCTCTCGCTCTTCGTCCCTCAGACGTGACTATCCTCTTGGCTCCACCAAGATCCTGCTCTCTCCGTAGCCTCTCACTTCGCTGGCCAGCACCCTCCGTACCACAAGCTACTGTGTGTTGTAGTTAATTGTGTGTGTTTGTGTGTGTGCTCTGTGTGTGTGTGTGTGTGTGTGTGTGTGTGTGTGTGTGTGTGTGTGTGTGTGTGTGTGTGTGTGTGTGTGTGTGAGTGTGTGTGTGTGTGTGTGTGTGTGTGTGTGTGTGTGTGGTGTGTGTGTGTGTGTGTGTGTGTGTGTGTTAGTGTGTTTGTGTGTGTGTGGGTGTGTGTGTGGTGTGTGTGTGTGTGATGTGTGTTGTGTGTGTGTTGGCCATGCTCATTTCCGGCTGCTCAGGGCTCTCGGTCTTCGTCTCTCGGACAACGTGACTATCCTCTTGGTTCCGCCAAGATCCTCCTCTCCGTAGCCTCTCACTTTGCTCGCCAGCACCCTCCGGACCGCAAACTGCCGTATGTTGTAGCTAATGTGTGTGTGTGTGTGTGTGTTCTGTGTGTGTGTGTTTATGTGTGTGTGTGTGTGTGTGTGTGTGTGTGTGTGCTCTGTGCATGTGTGTGTGTGTGTGTGCGTGTGCTGTGTGCATGTGTATGTGTATGAGTGTGCTTGTGTAGCATTACAGTAATAATGCCATAGCCAACAATCGCATGTCATCACGTACATTGAAAATCAACATAATTTTGCGGATCACTTTCCAACGAGGACGAAGCAAAGTCGGCCGAACGAAGCCTAGAGGAAGAAAATCACCCTCTCCACTTCGCCATCACGATACTGACATAGATACGAGATGAAACAACTAAAAAATCCACAAGAAAACTGTGCGGCCATCATCGCGCTGACTTTGGTCTTACTTTGGTCTGAGAATTTCTATCACGATCAAAAATGTACGAGGAGCACTCAAAAATAAGCCACAGACATATCTTTATCGCTCTCTACTCCTTTTTCAAGGCACAAAAGTCGACTCTCCACTTTCAAACCAGGAACCAGACATACCAGTGGTCCTTTTCAGCTGCTCCATGAGCGCAGGAAATGTTCACCAAGGGGCGCAGAGCAGCATCCATTCCAGAAAAAGAGCTAAAATACGAGTGAGACTGCATGCCTGAGTACATGAGTACATGCATGAGTACATGCGGAAAATAGTCAATTTCAGCGTTTCTGCTCCAAACAGCAACTAGCTTCGACTAGAAACAAAGATTACACCAAAGGATCAAACAACAACCATTTTCTGTAGTTTTTTTGCAGATGGCTTCCTTGTGCTTGACCCAGCACGCCAAAAATCACACCTCGGAGGAGTACACAAATTACAACTCTCAGATGTCCTCGATTGCTGGCCATGAGATTTATGGGTGCGAGCGGCTGCTTCGTGCTGCCACTCAAACTATGCTGCTATGATTGCTAGCGCTTTTACTGCATGCTCATGCTTTGCTGCTGGCTACAGTCACGTGCACTGTACATCACGGTAACCATGTCGGACAAACGTCTTGGTGCATGCTCACATGGTACTATGCGTCATGGCATTCTACGTGTCATGCAACGTGACACTCAACGTGGCATTCATTCATTCTTGCGCGGCGCTCAACTTCGGCGGCATGCATCGTGGGCACTCAATGTGGCATGCTTAAGTTTGCCTAGTTTATTATATATTATTTTGATCCGTTCTATGTGTGGATCACTCTTGTCGGATCAATGTGTTTCACCCACCCACCTCCCATTTCTGATCTCTCACATTTTCTTTGATAAATTAAATAAATGGGTGTTGGCCATGCTCATTTCCGGCTACTGAGGGCCCTCGGTCTTTGTCCCTCGGACGTGACTATCCTCTTGGCTCCGCCAAGATTCTGCCCTCTCCGTAGTCTCTCACTTCGCTGGCCAGCACCCTCCGTACCGCATGCTGCTGTATGTTGTAGTGAATATGTGTATGTGTGTGTGTTCGTGTATGTGTTTGTGTGCTGTTTGTGTGTGCTCTGTGCATGTGTGTGTGTGTGTGTGTGTGTGTGTGTGTGTGTGTGCGTGTGTGTGTGTTTGCGTGTGTGTGCGTGTGTGTGTGTGTGTGTGTGTGTGTGTGTGTGTGTGTGTGTGTGTGTGTGCGTGCGTGTGTGTGTGTGTGTGTGTGTGTGTGTGTGCTGTGCTGTGTGCATGTGTGTGTTGTATAGCTTTATAGTAATAATGCAGATTAATGGGTGCACCCGGCTGCTTCGTGCTACCACTCAAACTATGCTGCTATGATTGCTAGCGCTTTTACTGCATGCTCTTGCTTTGCTTTCCATGTCGGCCAAACGTCTTGGTGCATGCTCACATGGTACTAGCCAGGATTTATGCCAGCCGGCCAACGTTCTAGTGAAAATGCATCGTTATGGGGGTTGCGCCCCCAGACCCCCGCCATCACTTATATACCCACACACGCACACACCACTGCTAATCTTTCATTGTAGCTTGCATCTCCTTTCGCTTCGTCCAATTATGGACATTCATCAGGCAGTTGTGACAATGTGATTATAGGTAAATTAACAAAGTATGAAAAAGGAAGCAAAGAGCGACATGAGCATGGATCATGTGTTCACCAAAGTCATGTCTGCAGTGTACATTGGTCATCTGACAAGACCCAGCCTAGCCATGAATGGCCCACAATATGACAATGATGACAGTCTAGAGTCTGTAGCTGTCAGTGTCACAGCCTATGTACACCACCGGAAGCAGCGAACCATGACGTACTCGAGTGCATACTCAAGTGCATTTGAGCTTGAGTGAAGAGCTTGAGTGAAGAGCCTGAGTAACCAGTGCTACGTACTGTACTGTACATACCTACGCCTACGGATATGGGTTGTACTCCACCATCATCTCATCTCTGACTCAAGTGCTAGTGCAGTGCACTACAGTCTACATGCGTGATGACTGCAGCCGGCCAAAATAACCCTCCCTTAGAGCTGTCTCAGCCGGCAGGTCGCCCTCCCAGCCGGCAGGTCGCCCTCCCAGCCGGCAGGTCGCCCTCCCAGCCGGCAGGTCGCCCTCCCAGCCGGCAAAGCTACGTCACTGTACTGTAAATGAACTAATTTTCGCTGGCGATTTAATTTCGCTGATTTCGCCGCTGGGTACCAACCGGCCAAAGTAAATCGCCGGCCAAAATTTGTCATGATGCATGGATGCATGTGAGAGCACCAACTACTGATCGATTTCTTTTTTGAAAACCCTAATCGGCCAAAGTTTAATGACGGCCAAAAGTTTCATTTCGAGATCGGCCAAAGTTTCTCACCGGCCAAAATTTGTTGATTTACAGTACTCTATGCGTTGTGGCATTCTACATGACACTGAACGTGGCATTCATTCATGCGCGGCGCTCAAAGCTCATTACTTTTTTTACAGATTTGGTATTATGGAAAGTTTGGAAACCCCCTCGATAGGCGAAAGCCTTTGGGGAATCCTTAAACAAAATAAAAAAGTAGGCGGCATGCGTCTCGGGCACTCCATGTGTAATACTAAAGTTTGTCTAGTTATATTATTTCAATACGTTCTGTGTGTAGATCACTCTTGTTAGATCATTGTGTTTCACCCACCCACCTCCCATTTCTCATCTCTCATTTACTTTGATAAAGTAAATACTGAAAACTGCTTAATATTCGCGGCAGATTAGTGTTCGCTATTTTCGCGAGAAGAGCGTATCGCGAATATTAACCAGCGTGAAATCAAACTTCAACAGTGGGTGTATGTAGGTGGCCCCAGTGCTTTGCAAACCTTTGCCATCGCAAACTCGCTGGTTCTAAGAATCGCAAAAATTGATTGACGCGAATATTGGGTAGTTTACAGTAAACAGGTATTTGCCATGCTCATTTCCGGCTGCTCAGGGCTCTCGGTCTTCATCCCTCAGACGTGACTATCCTCTTGGCTCCGCCAAGATCCTGCTCTCTCCGTAGCCTCTCACTTCGCTGTCCAGCACCGTCCGTACCGCAAGCTACTATGTGTTGTAGTTAATTGTGGTGTGCTGTGTGTTTGTGCTGTGTGTGTGTGTGTGTGTGTGTGTGTGTTTGCCATGCTCATTTCCGGCTGCTCAGGGCTCTCGGTCTTCGTCTCTCGGACAACGTGACTATCATCTTGGCTCTCACTTTGCTTGCCAGCACCCTCCGTACCGCAAACTGCCGTATGTTGTAGCTAATGTGTGTGTGTGTTTGTGTGCTTGGTGTGCGTGTTTGTGTGCTGTGTGTGCATGTGCTGCGTGCATGTGTTTGTTCGCGCGCGCGCGCGCGTGTGTGTGTTCTGTGTGTGTTCTTATGTGTGTGCGTGTGTGTGTGCATGTGTGCGTGCTGCGTGCGTCTGCGTGCGTGTGCATCGTGTGCACATTTGTGTGTGTGTGCTACATGTGTGTGTGTGCGTACCTGTTAACCATGGACTGTTTCTGGCTAGATTAACTCTTGTTTAATCACTGGTGCCAGTGAAGCTTATTCCCATAGCTATGCAGAAGACGTTACTTCAGTAACGTCTGGCGCTAGCCAGGGTCCACACAGCTTTAATTTGGTGTTTGTTTGTGTCACGCCTGGAGCGTATCTGTCTCATATCTGTGTCTACAAAGGCTCTACAGGATTGTACATAACAGCTGGCCCAGGGCCTGCTGGAGAGCCGGGTCACGCTCCCGGCTGGGGAACTGCACGACCTTGCTGAACAGATAACACCGGGTCCAGTCTGACCCGGCTGAAAAATGTCTCAAACTGACAATGGATTCCGAAAATACCAGTATTTTACAACTCGCGGACCCCATCGGTTGCACATCTAGCGCAACCGTACACACTACAGTCTACAAGGAACAGAAGCTCGGCTAGGGTCAACTGTGGTCAACTGGTTCGAGCGCGATCTGGCCAGCGGCGAGCAGTAAGTCAGGACATTCAAAGTCGATGTTGCAGGCAGTCAAACGTGTAGCTTTGGCTATAGCTTTTGACACAATTGCAAGTTTTCAGCCGACTGGGGATTTGGACGATGGAGCCCGCAGCGAAGAGAAAAAGAACTCACGCTTTCCATGACTCTTGGAAGAAAGGTCGACCCTGGCTGGACTACGACCATGCCAGTCTATCCATGTCATGCGCTTTGTGCAAGACGCATTTCCGAAGGAAGACGAGCGGCGGTGGATTTGGTCGCGATGCGTGGTTGAAAGGTAAAAACTCACTACTTTGAATTATCGGCATGCTGCTCGGCTCCATCCTAGCTTTCGACATCCGCTCAAGTAATCGTTTAGTCTCACCCACCCGAACCTCGGGCCTCGAAAGGCGTGCAGCAGATGTTCGAGATTCTCGCCGAGCAACATGCTGGAGACTACCCGAACCTGGCTCACATCGCTGACGGGGGATTTGCCATTTGCCTGTCCACTGCTGAATGCGAGTGAGACTTCAGCTTGTAAAGACGGCGATGCGGAACTCGCTGTCGACAAGGAATCTGGAGATGATCATGGCAATCAAGCTCGACGTTCCTGCCGTCACCGACTTCAACTACGACATGGCTATGGCTGCATGGCATTCTGAGGTGACTCGGCGCACTACGACTGCCACATCAACCTCGTCTGAACGGAGGGACCTGGCCCTCACACCCAGAGCAGCAGTAACAGCAGCACCGCCAGCAACAGCGCCACCGGCAACAGCAGCGCTAGCAGCGACAGCGCCAGCAGCAGCAGGAGTAGCAGATGCCAGTCGGCTTGGCCATGCAGATGATGCAGTGGAAGCAAGCGGCCACTCCACAAGGTGTTGCAGGCATCCCCCCCCCCCCCCGTGCTCTGTTATGTGAAAATGTTCGTCCTGCTACTAGCACTAATTAGAAAACAGAATTCCTTTTTTTCAAATCGTTAAATCAGAATCCATTGGTACTGCTTTGCATTCTTCACGTAATGTCGTTTTCCTTCTACGTTTGCGGACTTTGATAGTTCGCCTTTCCGATTCCCGGTAATAAACTCGCCTTTCTGTTTTCCTGCGTTTTGAGCAGGCCTTTTGGTTGTTTTTCTGCCGGATGATCTGACACGGCTGGCCTGCATGCGCCAGGTACACTCTAACCGGGCTGTGTTGAATGTCTAGAGCAAGCCCTGTGGCCACAACATTTTGCTGGCTCCCGTATCTGTCTCGTACCGTATCATTAAACACAGCTGGCCACAAACAGCTGGCCACAATATTCGTCGTATTATGTATACGACTCCCTGATGTTTAGGGAGATTTTCAGGAACGAAATAGGGAGACGAGGAGGAAATGCAATATTATTACATGTAGAATGGACGTTAGTTGCCGAATAGGTGCTAGAATGCGTTAACAAAAACATACTATGGAAGAGAGATCCCGTCGTCTCCAAAATAAGCGTGAACGGGCGAGTCAGCGGCGGTCACAAGAAACGTCGGAAGAGAGATTGGCAGAGTCAGCGCCGGTCCCAGGAAACGTCAGGACAGACATCCCGTCGACTCCAGAACGCCCGTGATCGGCAGAGTCAGTGTCGGTCCCAGGAAACATCGGGACAGACAAGCCGTCAACTCCAGAACGCCCGTGATCGGCAGAGTCAGCGCCGGTCCCCTAGCTATGCAGAAGACGTTACTTCAGTAACTCATTAAAACGTTTTTGCAATACATTGATGTAGGTAATCAAAAGAACAAAACATTTCCATCAGCTCTAATAACATGCACGATGAGTTGGGCAACAAAGCACAGCATAGGGCCCTGAGCTTCCAAGCTCTCTCATATAGCACCACTAGTAGCAAGTATCACCCTTTTTGGGGGCAGAGGTAACTGCAGTTGGATCCCAGGACGGTACCTTGATGCCATCAATCCTTTTTCTGCACCTTTTCCTCACCCACTTACTGAGGTGTGGTGTGCCCGTAAGTGAGATCATTCGCATGTCCATGTGAGCGCTGTGGGTTTCCCAGATTAGGTGTTTCTTATTTTGTCGAAGTCATTTGGTGTTATAATATTATTACTCTGTTCTGGTGTACTACCATGCCAATGCTTGAAATGCATGGACGGACTGATCTGAGTCGAGCTGCCCGCGGATGTTGATTTGGGGCGAAGCTTCTTGAGGACTTTGAGTAGAGAGAGCGCTTGGCTCAAGCTTATCCGACTTCCACTTTGTTTTACCTGTATTGTCGTGTTACCTGTGAATGCCTTGTTACCATAACTGTATTGCTGGAACTAGTGTGTGTGTGTGTGACCTCGGCTGGGAGACAGTAACAGTCCACCCATACCGGGCCATAGTTTGGGGATTTTTGTGTGTGTGGGGGGGGGGGGGGGGGAGTGTGGGCCGTGGGGCGGTTCAATAGCCAATTGAGTCCTCTTTCCAAGATCCCTTTCCTCTCTCCCGGGGAGAACCACGAAACCAATTTTGCCAGTGAGGGAAATACAAGTATAAGTGTGTGTATGTGTGCACACGTGTGTGCGTGTGTGTGTGTGTATGCGTGCGTGTGTGTGTGTGTGTCTGCGTGTGTGGGTGCATGTTGTTCTTTGTGTTGTTTGATGATTTTATACTTCCAGCCAGAGTATATTGAACTCCGACAACAAACAAAATGGCGTCTCTAGGTACGTTTTATTACTTTTGTTATCTTCTGTGTAGGGATGAAACGAGTATCTATTTTGACCAATCGATCACTCATTCATAATACTCGATCGAGTATCCGATTATTGTGAGTATTGTATCAAAATTCAAAAAGTGCTAGATTTGTGAGATCTTGAGACCAATTTTGAAGAAATTATCTGTGAACATAGAACAAAAGTCGCCAACGTCTTGTACAGAGTGTAAAGTACCGATTTCCTCAGTACTTCATAACTAACTAACGTTACTTGCCGTGGTGATCGCATCGGTCAAGTCATAAAATACTGACTCAAAGGCATGCATAATGCATGCATACCATGTACCAGTGGACAAACAGTACAACAAAAGCTTTTGAAAAATAGAATGCCAATTCTAAAAATAGAAAAATAAAAAAACATCGAGTGGAAAATATCGAATACTCGCTCGATTGAAATTTTCGAACGATTACTATAATATTCGAACTACTCGTTTAACCCCTACTTCTGTGCTATGGGTGAGCCTGATATGCTGGTGCAGTTGCTACAGATGATGTGCCAAATATGCCTTTGGTATGAGTAGAGAGGTGTGCGATGCATGCTGAATAACATGACCAGTCCTGTGCAAAGACTGTGTTCTGTACACAGATAGTAGGCTGCCTTGTATGGAGTAGAGAGTGCATGGTTGAGAAATAAAGGCAAGCAGATACAGTGTTGAGAATAGAATGTTGAAAACATCGTCATTTCTGCGAAATGCATTTCGCTTTTCAAGTTTTTTGTTTGACTATGATTTCAAACAGCGGTTGTAGAGTTCCGTGTTTTTGATTATATTTGGATACTTTATACGGAGTAGCGAGCGGAGGTGACTGCGGTGGCAAACGTCCAGAGACGTTCTGAGTGCCTCAGTGAGGCCCCAGGTAGCGCAGTTGTAAAGCAAAATGCTTAGAACGTAGCAATTGTACAGCCTCAGCTTCAACGTTAGGGAGATCCCTGATGACTGTAGAAGGCTTTGCATCCGGCCAAATGACTGCGATGCCAGAACCATTCGGTGTTTCGGCGAGGCGATGGAGCTTCCTGGGGCATGTGCTCCGGATGCCATCAGGGGCACCGCCACAGGTCGCTCTCGATTTTGCTGCTTCTGGTGCCTTGCGGGGAAGGATAGGCAGACCAAGAACAACACTGCTAACCACTCTCTCACTGGATTGTCGGGAGAAGCTGGGGCTTGTGCTTCTGTCGCGACCTGGCCTAGCCCAGCTTCGGAAGGTGGCGCATGATAAATGCCGATGGAATTCATTGCGAAACAGCACTGTTAATTAGCCTGGCCATAATAATACGATTACATCTGACATGCTTGCCTTCCTACTCGTGCGCACGCGTGCATTCTTGCCGGAGATGTCTACCTGTGGCGACAATAATTTTTTCATGGACTGATCTTCTTTTTTAGTGTTAGCACACTCTTGGCTGCTGCTGTGGCACTTTTGTATTTTCGTGCTGCTGCGCGCTGTACGGCTGCGCTAGCCGTATTAACTGTCGTACCCAGATGCACACATTTAATCCCTGGCTATGCTTTTGGAATTGTTTTCGTTGCCTATGTCCTCATCTCTCTTCGTTTTGTTTTCGCTGCCTGGGCTCTCATTTATCTTTGCGTGCTTGCTTGTATTGCTGAGGGAACATATGCTGGTTTGTATTCGTGGGTCCCCATGGTGCATGGGTCACGCGTGCTCATCCGGCGGATATGTGTGAATAATGATTTCAAACAGGATCCAGACCCAAACAAAGAATGAAGTACATTTCGCGGAAAATGACGAGGTGTTCAATGTTCGATTCTTAAGTCTTTGAGCACGGACCGTACTTTTACCAACTATTATCGAGCATGGGAGATTGATAAATACGAAATCTTCACACTATTGTGACTAAAGTCGATTTTCGTTAGTTTGGAGAAAGTGAAATATGAGCCATGATCAGCAAAAACAGACCTTTAGGCCAGGCTTTCAAAATTGGTTTTGCTGTAAATTGTTCGTATGTACTGGACGATCATGACATTGTATACAATTTTTGAAGGGGATTTGACGAGGGTAAGCAGTTCCGACTGTATGACTGGTACAACCATGGCCGTACCACTTCTGGCGACCGGTGGTCACCGTGAAACGCTCAGAAAAGCAATAACAAAGTTTCGAAAGTTGGAAATTTCGCGCGTCGTACCTGTACCCCTAGGCCCTGTGCCCTACAGGCTACAAGACTCTTGTGCTAAGTTTGAGGGTACGAGTCGTAGCATCTCAAATGGTTCTCATGTACTGTATGGTAGCTCTCTATGTACGGACAATCACCGCTTGTCACGTGAAAAGCACTCTTGAAATGTTCTCAACCAGCATCTGCGTTGCTGTATGACCTATTACCAAGAGTGCATAAACAAGAGTATGCAACTGTGGTGATGGGTCATTGCGTGGCGGGCTGGCTTCATTACGTAATTTGCCTTCATCACACTCTGAAAGCATGCATTCAAACTCACAATTTCTCGTACGAGCCCATCCGTTTTTTCTCGATTCGTTCCAGTACCTACGCGATCTCTAAATTCTGGCGCGTGAACTCCAGTTCCGTACGAAAGTTCATTCAAACCAGAAGGAAAGTGCGGTGTTTTATTTTCCGCAGTGCGCGGACTGCAGCTGAATGATGTAATGAAGGCAGCGCGCCGCGCATCTGGCCCATAGACAAAAGATCACAGTTGCATACTCTTCTTTATGGACTGTTGCTATTACTATTTGTGCTTTGGCATGATTCATGGGTAATTTGGCGGAAGTTGCAGAATGCTGCACTTGCTGTATGATGTTCAAGATATGCATCACGGCTGTTTTCTATTGCATGGAATCCCAAATTTTTCTAACTCGGGGTTCCACCACCGCACCCACGCAAGGGGCTCTGCCCCCTTGCCCCCCCCCCCCCCCCCCCAGGGGACACCCCGGGACCTCAGCCATACCACTCGCCAACAGCCTCCAACGACCCTGGTAAATGAGTGAAAAAGGGATGGGAAAGATGCACACTCTCCTATTGTGCACAATATCAAAAAGCATTTCTGTCAGGATCATTGCCACTTTGCTCCTCTTTAGGTACTTGTCTATGTCCGGACCACTGTAGGATTGATTTCTGGCGAAAGCCTGATCCATACTTTCATTTCGCGTACGGAAAAACGTCGTGTCGTGAAAAAGTTGATCTGAGCTCAACTGCTTCGCATACGGGAAAGTCATCGCATAACGCGATGACTTTCCTGTACGCGAAATGAAGTATAAATAAACTGGACTTCATTGTTGTTGTTGTTCTAGTTTGGCTGCTTGCTGAGTCCCACACACATAATGATCCGGTGATTTTCGTTCTATCGACCCTCAAGCACAAGATAAAATATGCACCTAGTCTAGTGCAGCCCCCTGGTTCTTGTGCTGGTCAGCACAGCTGTCAGTATGGTGTTTGTGGATTTTGAAAATTGCTCCGATCCCGACGATTTTAGTCTCATCGGATGCAATAGGACTGACTAGACCGACCTAGACATGCGGAAAATTCCTCCGATCACGACGATTTTAGTCTCATGGGATGCAATAGGAACTAGACCGAACTAAACATGCGGCAAGCCGGCGGGAGTGTATTCCACCTGGCAGTGCCCAAATAAGATATTCCAGAGCAAGCCGATTTCTGTGCTAGGCTTCTTGTCACATCAGGCTTCTATTCAAACCAAGTATTTCAGGTGTGATAATTTTCTATGTATGTCAACACTAGAACCAGGCTTATAACAGGCATTGTATCTTGAAAAAAGGCATATATTCGAGACAGGCTTCTATTATATATATAAATTCTATATGAGATATGCTATATTCAAAACAAGCTTCTCTATCAGATAGGCTATATTCGAGACAGGCTTCTCTATGAGATTTGCTATATTCAAAACAAGCTTCTATATGAGATAGGCTATATTCGAGACAGGCTTCTCTATGAGATAGGCTATATTCGAGACAGGCTTCTCTATGAGATAGGCTATATTCGAGACAGGCTTCTCTATGAGATAGGCTTTAATACAAGACATTACAGTACATAATATATTTGAACGATTTTTTTGGTCAGTGTCGTGCAATGTTATCGTATGAGCTGATTGTTAGTGACTGGTGGTGTTAGTAACTGGTGGTGTTAGTGACTGGTGGTGTTAGTAACTGGTGGTGTTAGTAGCTGGTGGTGTTAGTGACTGGTGGTGTTAGTGACTGGTGGTGTTAGTGACTGCGGGTGTTAGTGACTGGTGGTGTTAGTAACTGGTGGTGTTAGTGACTGGTGGTGTTAGTGACTGGTGGTGTTAGTGACTGGTGGTGTTAGTGACTGGTGGTGTTAGTGACTGGTGGTGTTAGTGACTGGTGGTGTTAGTGACTGCTGGTGTTAGTGACTGGTGGTGTTAGTGACTGGTGGTGTTAGTGACTGGTGGTGTTTGTGACTGGTGGTGTTAGTGACTGGTGGTGTTAGTGACTGGTGGTGTTAGTGACTGGTGGTGTTAGTAACTGGTGGTGTTAGTGACTGGTGGTGTTAGTGACTGGTGGTGTTAGTAGCTGGTGGTGTTAGTGACTGGTGGTGTTAGTGACTGGTGGTGTTAGTAACTGCTGGTGTTAGTGACTGGTGGTGTTAGTGACTGGTGGTGTTAGTGACTGGTGGTGTTAGTGACTGGTGGTGTTAGTGACTGGTAGTGTTAGTGACTGGTGGTGTTAGTGACTGGTGGTGTTAGTGACTGGTGGTGTTAGTGACTGGTGGTGTTAGTAACTGCTGGTGTTAGTGACTGGTGGTGTTAGTGACTGGTGGTGTTAGTGACTGGTGGTGTTAGTGACTGGTGGTGTTAGTGACTGGTGGTGTTAGTGACTGGTGGTGTTAGTGACTGGTGGTGTTAGTGACTGGTGGTGTTAGTGACTGGTGGTGTTAGTGACTGGTGGTGTTAGTGACTGGTGGTGTTAGTGACTGGTGGTGTTAGTGACTGGTGGTGTTAGTGACTGGTGGTGTTAGTGACTGGTGGTGTTAGTGACTGGTGGTGTTAGTGACTGGTGGTGTTAGTAACTGGGGTTAGTGACTGGTGGTGTTAGTGACTGGTGGTGTTAGTGACTGGTGGTGTTAGTGACTGGTGGTGTTAGTGACTGGTGGTGTTAGTGACTGGTGGTGTTAGTGACTGGTGGTGTTAGTAACTGGCGGTGTTAGTGACTGGTGGTGTTAGTAACTGGTGGTGTTAGTGACTGGTGGTGTTAGTGACTGGTGGTGTTAGTGACTGGTGGTGTTAGTGACTGGTGGTGTTAGTGACTGGTGGTGTTAGTGACTGGTGGTGTTAGTGACTGGTGGTGTTAGTGACTGGTGGTGTTAGTGACTGCTGGTGTTAGTGACTGGTGGTGTTAGTGACTGCTGGTGTTAGTGACTGGTGGTGTTAGTGACTGGTGGTGTTAGTGACTGGTGGTGTTAGTAGCTGGTGGTGTTAGTGACTGGTGGTGTTAGTGACTGGTGGTGTTAGTAACTGCTGGTGTTAGTGACTGGTGGTGTTAGTGACTGGTGGTGTTAGTGACTGGTGGTGTTAGTGACTGGTGGTGTTAGTGACTGGTAGTGTTAGTGACTGGTGGTGTTAGTGACTGGTGGTGTTAGTGACTGGTGGTGTTGGTGACTGGTGGTGTTAGTAACTGCTGGTGTTAGTGACTGCTGGTGTTAGTGACTGGTGGTGTTAGTGACTGGTGGTGTTAGTGACTGGTGGTGTTAGTGACTGGTGGTGTTAGTGACTGGTGGTGTTAGTGACTGGTGGTGTTAGTGACTGGTGGTGTTAGTGACTGGTGGTGTTAGTGACTGGTGGTGTTAGTGACTGGTGGTGTTAGTGACTGGTGGTGTTAGTGACTGGTGGTGTTAGTGACTGGTGGTGTTAGTGACTGGTGGTGTTAGTGACTGGTGGTGTTAGTGACTGGTGGTGTTAGTGACTGGTGGTGTTAGTAACTGGTGGTGTTAGTGACTGGTGGTGTTAGTGACTGGTGGTGTTAGTAGCTGGTGGTGTTAGTGACTGGTGGTGTTAGTGACTGGTGGTGTTAGTAACTGCTGGTGTTAGTGACTGGTGGTGTTAGTGACTGGTGGTGTTAGTGACTGGTGGTGTTAGTGACTGGTGGTGTTAGTGACTGGTGGTGTTAGTGACTGGTGGTGTTAGTGACTGGTGGTGTTAGTGACTGGTGGTGTTAGTGACTGGTGGTGTTAGTGACTGGTGGTGTTAGTGACTGGTGGTGTTAGTGACTGGTGGTGTTAGTGACTGGTGGTGTTAGTGACTGGTGGTGTTAGTGACTGGTGGTGTTAGTGACTGGTGGTGTTAGTGACTGGTGGTGTTAGTGACTGGTGGTGTTAGTGACTGGTGGTGTTAGTGACTGGTGGTGTTAGTGACTGGTGGTGTTAGTGACTGGTGGTGTTAGTGACTGGTGGTGTTAGTGACTGGTGGTGTTAGTGACTGGTGGTGTTAGTGACTGGTGGTGTTAGTGACTGGTGGTGTTAGTGACTGGTGGTGTTAGTGACTGGTGGTGTTAGTGACTGGTGGTGTTAGTGGACATTATAGTGTACCTTGTAGCTCCTTGGTCCTTGGTCCTTTTCTATGTGGAGAAGAGGTTGGTGCGACGTCGGCGATAGTAGGGGAAGAGTGTGTTGCTTCCTACATGGGAGCTCGCGGTTTCCTCCCGACACTGACTCATGCTGCTATCTGGTGTTCACGATGTGTTTGTCGCGCTGGAAACGGAGCGTCTCTCTAAGTTTGCATCCCTGGTGATATTGGTGCCTGGAGAGCAATATATAAGTGGTGCTTTTCAGGCACCATCTTCCTCAACCTACTCAAGCTCAACTGATGAGGGGTGAATTCCCCGAAACACTGCATATTGAGCAGGAGTGGAGCTTTCTTGCAGGTTTGCCGAGTGGACGGTTCGATGGACTTCACTTGTGCTCTGGATGGCAGTCGAGTAAGAATCCAAGTCGGCAGGAAAACCGCAAGCTCCCATGTAGGGAGCAACACACTCTTCCCCTTTTTTCTATCAATTTATCATTGGCTCTCCCTCCGATTTCGGTTTATTTTCTTTCTTTTTGGTCGCAGTCAATTTACGATCAGGGCGCAATGTGTGAAAAAAATAGCCGAGGTTTTCCCTGCCCATGTCAGCTGTTGACAAGGATAGACTTACTCAATTTCAAGGAATGATTCCCGTGAGTGGCTATAAAGGAATGAGCTTGATACGAGCAAGGAGAGCAAAATGCCGGATGGAGATCGATTGACAGTGCCGGCCTACCCTGAAACACCTTTGCCGGCTTGCAGTGCTGAGCCAGAGCATCTCATAGAATGGAGTTCGAGTTCACCATGTGTTCCTTTCGTGTTGAAGATAATACCGTATCCGCACATTTAAAGCCATGGTGGTATACTCGATTATAAAGCCAGTCTCAGTTATAAAGCCATTGGCTTCATAAATGAAAATGCCATTTGAAGGAGTAAGTACTATACTGTACTAACAAGCTCACAGCCCAGCAGAAAGGGTGAACAAGTGGATTTAGCATGGCGTAGTGGGTGAGTCTTTTTGCATCTAAAGCAGCGGTGTTTCGAATATAAGGCCATGGCTTTAAAGGCACTGACATACGGCATGACAATTGTCCAAGGAAAACCAAAGTTGTGGCCAATTCAAAGTAAAATCTAGACAGTGGAATGCTCTGCATACATTGAGTTCTGTGGATAAAGGGTTTAATTCCCGTAGCTATGCATAATACGTTTCTTCAGTAACGTCTGGCACTAGCCAGGGTCCACACAGTTTTAATTTTAAAAGTGACGGGAGAGTTGAAAAATGGGGACAATCCAATACACATATCAGAATATTGTCCTTGGTGTTTTGGACATCTGCAGGCAACTTGTTCATCGCCTTGGTGGTTGGCTTCGCGGCAATTTCATCTGTGAATGGTAAGAAGTGTTGTGAACCTTCATCCTGCCCTGCCATGACTGCAGTCTGCACACCATTTACATGTTGCTTGTAGTCATTCTTCAAGCTTACCAAAGACGTCTTGTGACTAGCTTTGTTTACAACAACTGACAAGTATGTTTGAACACAGGGAACGACAGAGAGATGAAAGGAAGAGCAAAGCGGGCAGGTACAGCTAAATTGAGTACGGTACAACCGGCATGCCGGACAGCATGCGGCCACCAAAGAGGCTAAATAGGATTATGTGTGGCATAAACGGAAAGTGGAAGGAACTAATGTGTGCTGTGTGTAATGGCTGAAGTTATACAATTACACTAGATACCCTTAACAATAATAACGGATACAATTACACTAGATACCCTTAACAATAATAACGGATACAATTACACTAGATACTCTAGATACTAGATACTCGGTACTCTAGATACTAGATACTCTAACAATTTTATCAAACATTATGATAATTACCACATCAAATGCTGCGGAGACCTATCCAGAATCGGCAATATGCTGGCCCTGGCCTGGAGATCTGCAACTATAATCAGCTTCTACTTTGCAACACTAACGGATTAGTCCCCTTTGTCGATTGATGGATCAATCGGTAGATTCGGCTCTGTTTTTCTTTCCTTTCTTTCTTGTTTTGAATTGTACGTTGAACTCATTGGATTTCTTTGTATTCTGTATCTCGTTATCGTTATATTTCCCTCTAGCCCTCTCGCTTAGGATGAGCTTTCTTTTTTATGGCAGCTTAAGCGAAGGCTATATACCTGCTTTATGCAGGTTGATGCCAACGCGAACAAGCAAAATAATAATAATAATAATAAACGGAAACAATAATCATAGGTGCATAAACTAACTTCAAAGGCGGATGTGTGTCCACTACACTGCTTTGCCCGTGTTTCCATTTAGTTTGGTCGATATTTGGCAACATCCCATGAAATAACGTATCTCGACAACCATTACGATTTTCCTTATGGTCAGGTGCGTTTTTTTTCTCTTTCAGCTATTTCTGGACGGAGTATGGGTGCTGTTTCAAGAATTTATGAAAATGTATTGGGATGTTTATGTGTATGTGACATCATAGAAGCCGCTTTGCCACGGGTCAGGGCGATCCTGACCATGAGCTTATTTTGTGTTTGTTTGAGTTTCAGGAAGAAGTCAGTTATTTGTGCTTGCATTCCTTTCGTTGTTTAAAGGGGAAGTATACCCTAAAATCAAATTTTCACCAGTTTTCTTTGGGGTGCTGAATCGAATGGTCCTGGTCCGAGGATGCTGAGACGCTCCCTTCCTCCTTTATTCCCATCGAACTCACGCACTTCCACCAAAACTGGGTGACTGCGCCCTACTATTTGTATGGAAAGTCACTAAAAACGCCGTTTCTTTCTTATAAAAGCACGGATGACCGCGATTGGTCCATATGTTGTCGAATTTTGGCCGCTGAGTAGACTGCTTTTGGTCCAAAAAGGCTGCAATGCAGCGTTCGGCCCTTACTCCCAATCAAACACGGTTGAGAAAGCGGTCACGTGCTCATGCGTACACCAGTCGCCTGGTCACCGTGCCTGCAGACTACAATTTTCACATAAAGATTCAACTCAAAGGTTCAAAGCAGGGAGTCGTAAGAGGCTTTTACGACTCCCTGGTTCAAAGGTTCAACTCAAGTGACATAAGCGGGCCCAAACAGGCTGTAAATGAGCACGTGACCACTTACTCAACCGTGTTCGATTGGGAATAAGGGCCGAATGCTGCATCGCAGCCTTTTCGGACCAAAACCAGTCGACTCAGAGGCCAAAACACTACAACATATGGACCAATCGCGGTCATTCGCGCTTTTATAAGAACGAAACGGCGTTTTTAGTGACTTTTTCCATACAAATCCCTATCTAGTAGGGCGCAGTCACCCAGTTTCGGAGGAAGTGCGCGAGTTCGATTGGGAATAAAGGAGGAAGGGAGCGTCTCAGCTTCCTCGGACCAAGACCATTCCACTCAGCACCCCGAAGACTACAACTGGTGAAAATTTGATTTTAGGGTATACTTCCCCTTTAACCTTTGAGGCCCATAGCATGGTAACAGATTTGTCTGTACCATGGTAACGGATATGTCTGTACCATGGGAACGGATATGTCTGTACCATGGTAACAGATATGTATGTACCATGGTAACGGATATGTCTGTACCAGTGTACATTGCATACTTTTCAAAGGGCTACCTAGATTAACTGGGCTGTCCCTGGACCGAATCGGATGTTCGAAAGGTATATCTGCATAAGAAATTTATCCTCTATCGGCACACAAACACACACACACACGGATGCCAAGGATGCCTTGGACGTGACGTATAGTGCAGCATCGCCAGCAAACTGCAACTCCGTTACAGTGAGACGCTGCAGACATGACTTGGCAGTTCGGTCGCCAACCAGCTTTCTTCCAACTTTGTACTGCAGCTCGACAACTGTGTCCGGGCACATAGGACGCCAGTGGTCAA